TGCAAACATAAGATAATTTTGCGAAGGTCATAAAAGCGAAACGCCATTCAAGCTCGATGTTGTAAGTCGCTTCCAATAATGGATAGTCTTCCAGTTGCTTGATCCTCGTGAAGCATTGTGTGAGTTCGTCGCAAGCTGGCGATTTGCTGCCGAATGGGTTCTTTTTATTTCTGGGAAGTCGCATAGAGCAGAGTGGTGGTCTTGACTTCTGCAGTGATTACATTTTGTACCAAATATTGTGCAAATGTTACCTCCCACGAAAAATAGTTCTAAACAAAGTTGTTTATTATTTTCTACAGGGTCACATCCAGTGTGAGATTGGACGGATAGGAGATAATTTTTATGCATAGAATCTTGAGTGAATGGTCTGGAGTTCAGACAGGCTTCCACTTCAACGATGACTGTTTGTAAGTAATCAAATTAGTGATCTCTGCGTTGCGAAGCGTCTTGTATAATGCGTATTTAATTGATTTGATCAAACATTCGTGGAATCTTGCCATGATACGTACTGAATGTGTTTACAATGATTTTAACGTTTGCCAACATACGGTTGAGATCGTACTCTACCAATCTTTGTTTTCGCTCTGTAAAAAGGTAGTATTAATATTATAGCAAATTATTGTTTCTATTATTCTTTGTCGCCCTATGAAGCGTCGTCATGCGTTCAGATGGTATGTTGTTATGTTGCGTACGAACAATAGCTAAATCATCCGCGTGCTTTTCATGCATGTATGGATCCACATAGTGTCATTGATTCTTCTAAAGAAATTTTATTTTCAGGAGCAACATGACAGGATGACTCGCGGGACGCTCTTTCGGCACTGACGTGAAACGGTGTGGCGACACGTGCAAGGATATGCACGTCCCTCGATCCAAAACTGGACAAGGCGTCCTTTGTCCCATTCGCGCTCGGAGGCCGTAAGTTTAACAAAACTGATTCTGATGGGAATACTCAAGTGAAGCGAATCACCTTTTGATCCGATGGGCACGTCTTTCATTCCTTTTCGATATGAAAGCCTACCGGTAGGCCGACCGCTCTGAAGAGGATCCATACGCTCGAGTCAGTTTCCGATAAGTGAAGAAGAGTTATCGGCTACCGTAGCCCCGAAAAAGAACCTTTGAAAGGCGTTGAGCTTGCTGACGGACACGGGCAGAGGCAAAATTTTCTCCAGTGAGTGATGAGACAGTGTTGCTAACGAGCTTGCATAAGGTATTCCTTGCGTCTGCGAATGCGGCTGGCTCCGAAGACCGCATGGCAGCGGAAAATTGTACCGAGATCGCGCGGAGAGCACTTATCATCCACTACCGGGTCTATGTCGAAAGTGCAAATCCTAATGTAATGATCACGACGTTAATGGCTCCTGTGAAGGCTGAGGAGAAACGGTTGCGAAGATTGTTCGCGTACAAATCTGATGACTTGCCCCACGACGATGAAGGTTCTTGTGAAGTAATGAAGGCGAATTGGGTTACCCAAAATAAGACAATTGTTACCCAGTATAGAAAAGGGCTAGCAAACAGTTTCAAGGTGGGCTCCAGCACGTACGAAACTCCCCTTGGAGAGCCGCTCAAATGTTCCAACACCAATTAAAGACACATCAGAGCCAAAAACATACAAAAAGTAACATGAAAAGACTCAACTTTGCTTTGTAGCAGTGGAACCATTCGCTTCTATCAGTAAACGTAGCCGCTGCTGAAGGGACTGATAGGAATACGATGCACCAATCAATATACAGAGTTCGACTTCTATGGCAAATCAAAGTGCAATATAAGAATACGAATGCAATAACCTGTTCATAAATTTAATTTGCATGACAAAACAAAGTGTAGGAATAACCGGCGAATCAAGAAGAATCATCATGTGGTAGCTCATAGCATACAGACAAAGGCACTGAATCGGTTCGGCATCAGCACGGAGAGGGCTAGTGTAGGCAACCAGAAGGTATGGGGACAGCGAAGCGACTCGCCAAGGGAACGTCGGCGATACGCCGTGAACAGATGACTCATTGCTTCTAGCCCTACACAAGCTCGCACTTTATTGAAGCTACCCTTCGGCGACCGGCACTCCATCGTCCTCCCGACTATACTCATAGATCGATCGATGACTAGTCGACTCCGCTATTAAAGTGATGAAAAATTGAAAAAAATATATAGCCAAGCCATGGCATTTACGGCGGTCATAAGGATGTGCGTACGCGCCGACAGCCTGGTCCCTCACGATAGCTAGTCATACAGTGTTCAAGGTATCAAAGTAAAAAAAGGCAAGACCAGTAAACAACAAATGTGCGCCACTTGCAAGATAGGAGAATACACAAAATTGCACAATGGTTGAATTAATAGTATCATTTGAGAGTGGGATCATTTTTACATCCTTCGTATTCACATCACTCACTTTGAAAAAAAGTTTTCAGATTTGCGCGTGTGGCAGCCAGCGTTTTCTTTTCTGTAGCTCTATGAGATACAGAGGCACTTGATATGCAGCTCCTGCATAACAAATATGACAATGTCCCCTCGGCCTTTTTTTCAAAAATGGACATGTTATGATCTTGCAGCTTCATGCCTCGCCCAGTATATTTTATTTTGTATTTCTGTTGTATTTTTGGAAAAGTGGACTTTGATTGGCAATGGCTTCATGAAATCAAAGACCGCAGCAGTGGTATATGAAATCCGGAAAGAAGGCCTGCTTTGCGTCTGGTGGTACCTGAGGGTCCAGTCCACTACGAGCTCGTTTCCGATGGATCGCATTGAGCTCTGAGCTCTACTGTCAACATCTATTAGGTTGTCCTAAAAGTAAACCGTATTTTTGCATAAATTAAACTGTTCTTGTTTCTCTGGCAGGCTTGGGGGGGGGCCTTTCGATAGAGCGAAGCAAGCTCTACAAAACGACCACCAAAGAACCGTCTAAGTCGCTCTTCAGGTGAAATCTGGGTCCAAAAATCAAAATTTTTCAGCTATCCTAAAAATCGGATCTCCTTCCAGAAAATTCCTACGGACTTCCAACATGGTCCTTATATAGTAGATACATAGTAGTATCAAAAAATAATTTTGGTTGATTTCTTTCGGAGTTCAAAATTGAGAAACAAAGGGGCCAAAATGCCACTTTTTTCGGGTTTTTTATGTAAAACTTGGTATTTCTCGAAGATAAGAGCACATAAAGGGGTAAGATTTTGAAATTATACTTAGTAAGGATTGTAGTACACAACCACATATGTGGGAGGGGCTGGGGGCGGAGTCTGCCATTTTTGGACAATTTTTGTTTCTCGCTTTCTATGCTCGGAAAAAATGGCAAAAGCTTATTTGAGTACTACTATGTGTCTGCTGTATAATGACCAAGTTGGAGGTCCGTAGGGTTTTTCCTCGCGAAAATCCAATTTTCAGGTAAAAAATTTTTTTTTCGATTCTGGCTTCAAACTTTACATGGAATGCGACTTAGGCGGACCCTTGGTGGTCATTTTGCAAAGCTTGCTTCGCTCTATCGAATGGTACCCCAAGTCTGCCAGGAAAAAAAATAGTTTGTTTCATTCAAAATACGGTTTACTTTTAGGACAACCTAATAGAATGTAAAATGCTCCGGAGATATTCGTTTCGGTGAATCCGAGAATGGTGCTCCTTCAACAAACCAATGCTGCAAACCGCTCGCACTTCAAGAAACAAAATCATGAGTTTGATGGGATTGAATTGCTTCCTCACCCAGCATATTTTCCTAACTCAAAGTTTTCTGTTCTGAAAATCAAAGCAAGGTTCAAATTACAGTACGAGAATTTTTGCTCAAACCCGTCGATTGGTACAAGGCAGATATCCAGAAACTGGCTGAAGATGGACCAAAACCATCGATTACCAAGGATATTTCAAGGGATAAGCTAGATTAGTAGAACGTTCTTATTTTTGAGTCACCTCAAAACGATGGATGGATAGCTGTAGGTGTGCAATAGATTACCAAGAATGAAAACGACAGAAACATGTAACTGAACTTTTTTGCAAGCTCTGTGTTTTGCTGTGTTTTGCCAAATACTCGGCCAGTAAGTGCCCCAGTGCTCAAAGGTTGCATGATTAGGTAGCGTATGAGATTTGAATCGCCTTTGCTTTCTATTAACAGATGTTAGCCGATGCTGAGCCCTGTCTGCAACTTATGTAAAAGTGTATTCTCGCTCTTACTGGACTTTCGCTGCTTCACGTTCAGAACCTAAATGATGGTGCGCATCCTGCGGACAGTTTGTTTTATTCCCTCTGTATACATAACCTTCATGCAATGAAGCTTCATCTGAAGTTCCTCGGAAGCAGCAGCGAGAATCCCCAGCTTTTGTAGGCGGAAGATGTGGGATAACTTACAACTGAAGACAGGATAGCAGTGTGGCTGTCGATGGCGATGTCGTACGTTTTCTTATAATACAGAGCACCCGTGCTGGTGCGAGGAGAACTTAGGAATACCATTCATGCCACAGTTTTTTCCTTCAAAAAAAAGTTATACGAAAACTCATCAAGTCTGAGACTCATGAGCAAATCTGCGGCGACCTCTTGTGACCTGCTTGTTCTCATAATATTTAGGTTCCCGCACTATGCAATTTCCTTGGTTTCGGAGGTGACACCATATCCCTCTTATTGCCATGTGGCGTCTCAAGTATAAACTGAAGAGCCCGTCAACAATCCCCGATGCATACAAAACCTCCTTGAATGAGCAATAGGCCCGAGCAAATATGTATGGGATGAATAGTGGTCGATTGTCAACAAGATCATGTGCGAAATCCTCTAAACTTTGACCATTTCATAGAAGTTATTATTCAAAATTATCTATGCATGCAATATACAACATGAATAACAACAAAGTAACAAAATGTCAAATATGCGAAGCTCTTCTGGCGAATGCGAAAAAAACATACATAAGAAAAAAGCAGCAGGAAGACGGCTTCAGGTTATGAGTGGATAAGGCGATGCACAAGAAATCACTGCGATATTATGTCATAGGCCCATGAACAACAAAAAACATTCAAAAAAATTATTACATATATAATACACTAGAGATTACACAACGTGCGTTACTGTCGTCATGCTTCAAATCATTGCCTAGAGAGAGCTGAGCGCGGAACTCGCCGCACCTTTTGTACTTACAAGGGAGGGGGAGAGAGGGCAGCGAGTCAAGTAATAAAGCCAAGTGTAAGCGGAGTTCGTTGGTATCGGTCTGAGCGTCGGGATACCATCGTTGTCGATGAACAGTGAGAGCAGAACTAGAAACTAGAACAACAAATGAGTTATGCGGAGGTGCCGTTGAATTTTTCCAACGTTTGTTGGATTTCTTCCGGAGTGGCTGGAGGTAGTCGACCGTCACGAGGCTTTCGATTTGGATTTCCAACGCGTTTGGCAATGAATCTGAGAACCTGAAAGCGCAAAGGCTAGAAATTTTTTCTCAAAAAATTCTTCTGTAGGCCTTTGAATTTCTCATAGCACAGATAGATACATAAGCAAAATTTGCATACTTTTATCAAAGATGGAGAACATATTATGCATCATCAAAAGAATTTTTTTCACAGAAAACTTTTCCCCAAATTTTTCAATTTTTTTCCATCTAAAAAGTTGTAAATTTCTCATAGCTCTGAAACGCACAACTGATGGATACGCAGCACATATAGTACAGCGTACTCTGGAAAAATAATTTTTTTCTAGATTTGGGTAGAGCTGGATATGCACAAGTGGCGCTTAGTTTCAGCAAAAATAATGAAAATATGATTTTTGTTGCTGTGATAATTGGAAAAATTATCGTTTTATCAACAATTTTGCATCGTAAGCTACATCAATGTTCTATGCCAAGGAAACTCAACCTGAGCAAATTCAGTTCAGTTCAGCAATTCAGCAAATTCAATCAGAAAAATCCCGTTCAGTTGATGTTTTGGAATGTTTATAAAACAAATTATCGATAGCAAAAAAAACAAAGAAAACCCAAACTCAAAAAAAAAGCCAATAAAAATGGTCGAGACAGCTTTTACTGATAGATGCGTTCATGAATTAGCACTATGAAAACATTAGGATCTCATCATCCAAAACCGTCAATCACAGTGGTTGAATAATCAAATTGTGAGTCATTAAAATTAGATCTTTTTAATATTATTCAAACTTTCACGTTAGAAAAATCCTGCGATTCCTTACCTGCTTTCGACTGAGGTCACATTTTACTTCTATATCCCTGAGCTCTTCTTCCGTCGGATAATGCCCTTCTTTGATAATGTCCTTGATATACTCTCGTTGCCAACCCTTCATCCGCGTCTGGAATCCTTCCTAAATTACGGGTGATTCCATGCCATGCAAATGCTAAAGCTTTTGGCTAAAGACTGGCTCAGGTGATCAAAACGGAGCGCAACTTACCAACTGCTTATAAGGAGGTAATCGCGAATGGTTGGAGATGAATTGTCGCGCCTTCATGTCGGAAGACGGGTTCCAGTCAGATCCGAGGTTGGGGATCTTATGCTGCAAAAGATGCGTCAATTGACCCTAAATATTGTGGGTAGTGCAACAGAGGGAAGAGAGAGGCTGGATGGATAGAGTAGGATGTAAGCCTTACCGTTGCAAATAATCCCGTAACTAAGTCAATGGGAGCGGATCCTTGTGCAAACGAGTCCAAGTTCAAGTCGCCACCATCCTGAAACGATACCAGGGTAAAGAAGAACATAAAAACCTCAAGAACAGAGGAAAAACGCAAGAGAGGCGAACTAAATTATGAAGAATTATTTTGTTCGATTTCCCCAAGATAAAGAGAATGATAATATTAAACAACCTGCAGAGTTCCCTGCTCCTAACCCCTCTCTACCTTAACCCTAGGTAAGAATCACTTTCTACAAGGTGTTCTGATAAATCTTGCGACAGAATGTGGTAGCTCACTACGTTGAAGGGTCAGCTGCACTGGGGTATATAAGAAGAAACCGAATGAACAGAATTTACTCCTTTCAAAATAATCAATTGCACGTTTGTAAAGGCCTAGGCTATCGGATTAGGCGTGCCATTCACAGTACAAATGAACATTTTCATGATTAAACGAAAAGATTTTTGAAGAAAGTTACAATTAGAGCGTGAAGTGCATGAAAAAAATGAGAAGCTCTACCTCGCCTTCGTCCTCCAAAGCAGGATCGCTGTCCTTTTCCACTTTCGGTACAGTTACGTTGATATTGAACGCATTTGCCAACCGTTTCGAAGCACTTCCGTTTGTGAACTCCTCACCAGGTGAGACAGGAGTGGCAGAGACAGAGCAATGGTCTTCCGAATCAGCAACCTAAACATCTATATATTGAGAATTCATCCCTAAACCTATCTCTGGTCCCTTATTTAGCAGTTCTTTGCTTCTCGAACGAAAACAGACAAAACATTGTTAAGAAGCTGTTCTATATTCCATACAAGTTTCTTCGAAGCAAAGTGCGTATAGTGCTAACGCATAAGCGACTACATTATTGCACTGTATATTCTTATGTAGAGACTGCATATGTTTGGAAAAGCAGCGCTAGTGCAAACAGGAATTCAACGTGCTTAGGCTGAAGGCAGCATTCGCGGAAGGATTATGTACGCAACATTAACTATTTTGCACGTTTGCCAACACAGGGAGAAAAGAATGTATCTATTCAAAACAGTACAGGGTGTCTCAAAAGTATGTATACAGTGTTTGATCGTTATTATCTCCTTTCCCAAGAAGTCTTTCCCCCACCCACAGGTACCATTTTGTAAAGCTGGCATCAACTTAATTCACAGTATGGAGCCAGCGATCGCTCTTTCCTAAGATTACGGTAAGAATCTCTAGCTCACACCGTCATTGCGGATTGATCGTGTTTCAAGGAAAGTTTCCAAAAAATCTGAAAATGGTGTACTAGGGTTTCCATGCTCGCTGATTTCATTATTCAACTTTTGTAAAGCGATTCAAATAGTGTAATCATATAATAATTTCATGGAGTATCGTAAAACAGCTATTGCGGTTTACCTTGCATGACATATGAAGGAACCTTTACGGTAAAGTGCAAACACCATGTTTGATTTTACTGCTTAGGTTGACCTAAAATAAAAGTTTTTCGTTTCTTCGGTTTGCTTTCTGAGGCAGAATAAAGTTTCTAATGGCTCACAACCCTTCTTCAAGTTTCTGCCGTAATCCTATAATAGTGAAGATCGCTCGGTGATTTTCGCCGTACTGCAAATCTAAGTTGAAGCCAGCTCTACGAAATGGTGCTTGGAGATAGGCAAAAGACTTCCGGAAAAGAGATATCAACGATTAAACATGTATACATACTTTTGGGACACGCTGTATACGCCAAAAATTTTGATGTTTATCTCAAGGAACAGATGTATGGAGTAATTTGTAACACTAGTAGAATGACTACTACTGAACGCCTCATTCAACAATATGATAGAATGACCCTCTCCTGCCAAAAGCATTATGCATCGGATCGGATTTACCTTTGTTTTGTTAGGTAGATGAAGAAGCTTTACGATTACGAATAATTGAGTCGATGTTATCAGGTGTTCAGAGTTAAAAAGTCAGCCTAATGAAGTACATATTTTAGATCAGAAAAGATGGGGTATTCCGAAGAATCTCATCCATAAAAAATTGAAGTGGCACTGGCACATCATTCCAAGTTATTTCTGATTTCTGCCTCCCGAACGTTATTCTCTCCGATGTCTATAGGCACCTGCTCTTCAGCTAATAAAACATTAGTTCTCATGAATAGATTACTTAGCCAAGATTACACACATACAGATCCTACAACAAGCTACACAGAGATTATTACAGAAGCGTGTCGAGGTTTTTGGCATATGGTTATGGTAGTAATGATATTAAGAATTGTTAAGGCACTTAAAGGTTAAACCCTATAGGTTTTCACATCCTAATATTACCTTAGCTTCAGTTCCTTTTGATCAATTTAGTTCCCTTTCCTCTACTCGATTTCTAGGTAAGTCAAATGGTACATTCAAGTATTGAAGATGATTCCACACATGCAAAACACAATCGCAATCACTATGGTTTTCTTCCAATCACAAGGAACTCATGTAATTGGCAGAAAATCATATTTTATTCTGATTCTTTTCGTCTATTCCAATTCGATTTCTGGATGCTCTCCGACATTTTGAGTACGAGCAAAAAAAGCCATCACTCACAGTGTCACATGCTAAATACCTCGACTCATGACAAATGGAAAACATGAGCGAGTTGCACACTGCCAGAAACTTCCTCCCATTTTTATTTGATGAAAAAATTACGCTCTTATCAAAAGACTTCAGTGCTACTGCTAGATCCCCTACTGCGGCCTTGCCTAACCCCTCTATTGTATCACTAACGCATCTATTGTCGGATCGTTGACTTTGACCTTATACATATCCCAAGTGGAGCGCATCGTACGCCAACTAATAGTGGGGATTGAGACATATGCGAGCGAGTAGGAGCCTAGTCGCTCTTTGCCGGGCGGATGACCTTTCGCCAGCCGATCTCACACAGAGAGGCCGCTAAGAGCGCTCAGCGCTTAAACACAGCCCCAGCGGCACACTCACACGATCATCGTTTTTCATCGACGTCGACGCTCCGGCATCGTCGTTCGGGTCCGGACGCGCTATCGCCTGATTCAGGTTGCTCACGAAGGACACGTCCGAGTAGCCGTTGGATGCCTAAAGTAAAAATTCTTTAGAAAATGATGAATTCTAGAAAAAGGCTATAGGCCTGAATTTGATAGAGTTATTTTTAATCTTCCTCACTCTTCCCTCTACTGGCAACGGGAACTAAAATTGCTGATAAACCCCTTCGGTTCCCAATCTCTGCCTTCTTTTAAAGGCCCTTGCCCTTATGATCAATGAAGTGGTCGTCTTATACACAATACAAGCCCTGTCCTACCCTTAATTTCGCATAAATATGCTCAAGAGAGGCGGTTCCAGGATCTTGTTCGGGGTTTCTATTGTGACGTTAGCCACGCACACTCAAAAAAAATTTTGTGAATGGATTCCCGGATTTTTACGGGCCCATGAACTCAAGATTCTTAAAGATTGGGCGTGGCATTAATCACGGCCGGAAATTTTTTTGCGCTAATTCAAATTTTCGAAATAAAAAAATTGTTTTGATCATTTTGAAGTATAAACAAGTCACTTGCACATTTTTATAACTCATCTAAGTAATTTACAAAGATTTCGCTACCCATTCGCGTTAGCCAGTCTGTGCTCAACATTGGTCATCCGAGAATTTTCGTTAGGAGGGCTAAAAGCCACGCCCTTCGATAAATTTTGGGGCAAGCACTTTTTGCATTTACAAGTATGCAAAAAACACATAAAACTACTGCGACTTTTCTTTCACGCTTTAATATAATTCAACCCAAACAACTATCCATTGGTGTCATGAAGTTCTTGCTTTCTCAACAAGTCCGAAAATCTGCATTGGCAAGAAAATCCATACACCGAAACAACAAAATCTATTGAGATCCCTCTAGACAGCTTAGCGTCGACTACGTACGCTCGAGCGTGCCATGCATTTAGAGCAAGTCTCCATGACTAGATACAAAACTTGTATGATTAGCATTCGCGTGTAATCCAAAAGAATTGTATTTTCTGCAAGAAAAGAGCGTGCAAGTTATGAAGTTTCGTGTGCAGAAATGTCTTAACTACTCTAAGGCACTGTCTCAATCGTTTTCCAAAAAAAAATGAAAGGCGTTTAGATTATCACTCTACGAAACCACAGCGTAGTCAACGATCATTAATGACTTAGCGTACCCTGTGAATTGGTTTCTTTCTCACATCTAAGAATCTCAAGCACTAAGGAATCTTAGGTCACGGTGTTTCTTAAGTTCGTTAAATGACAAACTGCCCAGAAACCGCTATTTTTCCTCGTACCCCAGATCCAAAATGAAAGTGGAATCAACAAAATTTAAAAACATCAAAACAACGAGTTCCTCCGCATGCATAAGCCCATGAATAATAAATCAAAAACATAAGTCAGAAGAGTTACGACAACAAAAAGGGCACAATTACTTTTTGGTACCAAATACTGATTTGTGTAGCTTTACAAATAATTTTTAACATTCTTCAGGAAATCGTTTCGCAGCACTTTTGCATACATGGCTTGTCTATCTATACATGCGATCATAAAAGTATACAACTAGTTGTTTGCGCCAACAGGAGCACAAAACACATACAAAAAAGCATCACCTCAAACTCTCAGCTCAGTCACTTCCACTGTCTAAATGCTATCATATGTAAGCAGAATAACCATTCGTGTAGAGATGAAAACCAAAAAAGTAGCGGCTGCCGGGTATGCGTGCGTGTCGCGCGCGGTCGCCATCGTCACGATTTTTTGAATCCCCTATAGCTTCTCTGCGTTTACCTCCAATGCCAAAAACAAGACTTTTACTATAATAGCTATCATTACGACTAAGTACCACAGTCGTCGCGCTTAATACAGCGTTTGAACATTACGATGCAAAAAGGTATTCCAATGGCTGACCTAGACTGCGCTTGAGTGGTAACCTGATATACAGCAGCAGATTAGCGGAATAAAGACGCGAGAGGTGCAACGCTAAGCGATGTGACATTCAAACCCCGCGAGCAGAGAGGTCCCGATTCCGCGATAATTTGCACCCGGCGCCGTGGTGATCAGCCAGGCAGTTACTGAGGCGCAGCGATCTTATGGCATCTCATCGCATAAAAGACCTTGGAAAGTGTACAGGATTATCTTGCTAGTCAAGTGGGGATTTGGAGCCTCCTATTTTCGAATAAGGTGGCTATGACAAATAGTGTCAAAGCATCGACACAATGAGTAGAAGACATTAGAGTGAAACAAAACAATAAATGAGGTATCACCCAGTCAACAATTCTTCAATTAGTTCGTTCAAATATTTTATTTAAGCCCTAATGCTCTAATGCAAACTAAATGATACTGCTCCTATGCCATAGAAGCATCACTTTTAAACTTTTGTGATGCATGGTCTTCACTCTGAAAAACGCTAGGGGAAGTGTAGGGATAATGTAAGCATACCCTGTGTTTCTCTTAATAAATGAGTCAACTCGATAATGCAATCAACAATGGTTGCGCAAACAAAATTTTGAGAGTTTTCGAGGTGCTTTCCAGATTTTCTTTTAGGATTGACCAAAAAAGGGGATGAAGCAACCATGTCTCCGAAAGCTTTTTACGAAGCAAACTGAATTTTTGGACAATTTTAGAATTACTTTAACAACTGAAAAGTTAGAACCATGTAGTCTAACTTCCTCTAACCTCGCGATCTATTAGATGGAGCGCGTACACCTCCCCCTCCTTCTCCTCCTCAATGATCACTACTTTTTTACAGACTGCATTTTCTGACAAGAAAAAAAGTGATTGAGTAGCTGTGCTAAAATCTCAAATCTGTAGATGTCGCAGGAGCGCAGTGGGCTCATGATGATAAACATAATCAAACAGAAGCCCGCATCTTATGCTCGGACTCAACGCAATGATATCTCAGTTTACTTTGCATCACAGATGGACAGGAATACGATTCCGTCATTCAAACGGAAAATTTTTCAAAAGACGCAAAAATATGTCAAAGCCAGTATTTCCGGATGCAATACATATGTGGTTTGAAAAACAAATCATTCCAAGAATAGGAATAATGTGATATAAATAAATCTGCCTATAAAAATTATGAATCGAAATAGCATCACTGGAAAGTAATTTATCAAATCATACGTTCCTTAGAAACATGTGCACAAAAGTTAGTGAAAAATGGAAAAAAAGGCAGGGAGGGGGAGGAGTGGAAGTTCAAAATAATGCGATTGATATACATATTTGATCCCTTCAACATTTAGCGTCTATTTTGCGATAAGTTAAGGATGATATAGAAACTCTCACCTAACCAGGCTGCTCGTTAATGAAAACTTGGACCTATGGACGACAATAATATTTGCGGATAACACTATCGAAATGTTGCGATTTTCCAAATTTTCTTTGATTTTCTCAAATTTTCAAGAATTTTATGTTGTTATCAGGAAAAATGAGTGTATTATCCAGTCCTGAATATGATTTACAGTAAAAAATTACGATAAGGAAAACCAAAACTACAGAACATTTTTAAGTACTATGAATTATAGATGCGACCCTGCTTGTCCTATCATTACATCAAGAATGCAACTCAAAACATTCCCTGCACTGTTCTCCTGCAAAGCTGACTCTGCAAAGCACCAGAAAACCAGACATCTATTTCAGCTCTAATCTTCCACAAAATCATACATACTTTACCGGCTCAACATCTCAATGTTCTCAAATTTACATATTGATATTTGCCAAAAAAGGCTAACCATTTTATTCACTGGAAACGGCTACACGTAGTAAAAAAAATCTCGCCAAATCCTGGTCCTATTTTAGAAATATCCTCCAAATATGCGCACGTAAAATTTGCAATCAAAGGATCGTAGACGAGGATTTGAGATTCAGACAAGGATTGGGGATTTGCAAAAGCTGTGGAATGAAGAGGGATTTGCATGGATTTCTACGAAAAAAGTCAAACCAGTTAAGGCCGTAACCCAACTTTACGGATGCATAGAGAGAAGAGGAGAAAGAAGAATTAAGTCCCTACCATTTCGGAAATCTTCGCATTCATCCCAGGCCTTCTATGCAAATTTGGTAATGCATATAAGATCCAGTGATACACTCGTTGAATCGCCAAATGGTGTCAGGTAAAAGACTGTTGACTGTCAAAAAAGGCTTAGGAGATGATAGTACTGATAGTGGTACACTATTTGGATAAAAACTAAAGTTCAAAAAATAGTGATTTTCTCCTAATTTCAGCATTTTCCAAATCACAACATGACTGAAAATCTTTGTGCAAGTCTTATAACTAAATGAAAGATGGCCTCAAAAAAGTATAGAAGAGAGAAGTTAGCCACTCAAGCAGCAAAATTAATAGAGACAGTAGAGTAGACAAATTCAGTGTAAATTTCAAGTTCTAACAATAAAGCGACTAGTCAAGAGCAATGGTCAGACAAGGACTCAACTGTTTAAAAATCTTTTGCAAAGGTAAAAACGTAGAATAGGTAAAGCTCATCTGTCAACTGTCCACTTTTTCTTTCCAGCATGAGTATAAATAAAATTTTTTAAATCAAAACAAAACTTTGACCAATCGCACTATAAATCAGTGATACAATCTTGATAACCCAAATATCATATTTATAAACTTCTCACTGTAAGTCAAAAGTTTTGAGAACCATATGCATTCAATCCCGATCTCATACTGTATGAAAAGCTTCTTACAATTGCTAACTGATTATTAATTTGATTATGATGGTTTACTAACAAACCAGTAAACAATCAATGTTCCACTTCTTTCCCCTGATTAGCATTTGTTCCCGGACATACTTCGCGCGATCCCGGCCGCCACGCGATTTGGCGCTTTGCCAGATGCCTTCAACTTCAAGACTGGCGGAATACATGCATGATGTGTACAAATTCTGCAAACTGATTAAATGCGATATCTTCTATACTTCCAAAATGCGTATGCGATAAGCTATAAACACTTGGAGTATTGCCAAATCGCATGGCGACTCAAATCGCGTGAAGTATGCCCGGGGGCTTAAGTAGCAATGAATAAAACTCACAATCAGCCCGAAAAAGTCGATTACCGACGATTCCTTAACCCGTACGATTGCATATTTATACTTGACGTCCATGCTCCACGTATGGACGCACACCGTGTATGGAACTTGGCTTCGTGTTGAATCTGCAAAAAAGAAGGCGTAGGAGGTGATGAGTGACAAGGGGCAAAGCCCTGTTCCTAGAGACACACACGGGGCACACGACGATGTGTGTTAGGATTACGGCCGATCGCAACGGATAGGAGCCCCGAGACAGAGAGATGTGCATTTAAACAACGTCCATGGTAACGCCGACTGCTGTGGGTGTCTCTTTATTGAAGCTGTTTGAAGGCTCACTCAGCTCAGCTTACACTCACTCTCAGATCGTTGAGGCCACACCTAAGGCCACTAATTGCTGCTTTACTACGATGCCGATGGAGATTAGCTCAGGTGTAGTGTAAGATTAATGTCAGGTGAATTTGTAGCATAATGTAGAAATGAGGCATGCATAAATCATAGCCCAGGAACAAAAGTTGAGAAGAGAACGAAGTAGAAAATCGAAAAATCACTAAGCAGACAACGAGCGGTTGAGGCATTGGCGTTTTATCTTAGCGAACGAGAGCAAGTGTAAGATCCATCTCTGCTGCAGAGATAGCAACAGCCACCAGGAAAGAGACTGAAGCGGATACTTTGTGCTCAGAATTGTAATATGGTAAATACTTTTATGTTTGACTGCCCTACGATTTCGTAAAAATAAGGTCGTTCATAACTACTCCGTGAAAGCTGTTGCCAAGAAAATTAGTGTCGTGCGACGGTTTTCTCTCGACAAATACGTCGCTTTAGGTCAAACAAAAGTATTTTCGAAAATTAGACCTAAATTCTAAGCCGCCAGATTCGTAGCAGTCCAGTGATGTTTTCAGTTTTTTCAAGAATCTGAATCAAAAGAAGTTATAGCAATCGACGGTTTTTTCACAATAAAAACGCAGCGACGGAAAAATTTATCGCAATCCGTTTTTCTCCCAAGAGTTAGGAGCTCAATTGTAGCATTTATTAGTCAAAAGGTTTTCAGTAAGGATCAAAGGGGACTCCCTAAAACTTTAGCTCAAAAAAGCATCATAAATTTTGTAGGTGACGAAGGACGCAAGTGATTATTAATTCAATACAATCAGTTTTTTGCAGGATTCTGGATTAGAATAGTTTTTAGGCTATCAGCAACAGCAACTGAGCAAAACCTCAGCGCTATTGTAGGTGTTCTGTAGATGAGATTATGCGTGATTTAATCTGAAAAAAAAAGTTGATTGTGTGTGAAAGGCCTTGGTCGTCAATGTGTTGATTAGAAGGCAAAAAGTCTATGTTTGCCTAATTTTTGATTCCTTTTTTAGTGAGCAGAATTCTAGACATAAATAAGAACAAATACAGCATAAGATCAGCGAGAAGTGTGACGCAGTTTCCTTTTTCTTCGCTTATCCTACATTTATTTCAGAAAAAAATTAGGAAATGGAGCACGAGTTTGAACTGAAAACAAAGAAAAATGAATGTACTAGAAAGTGACAATTCCGAGAATAAAAGCAAATGAAGCGCAGTTTTGGATATATTTCAATTGACTAAGTCTGTACATAAAGATAGAAATCTAAAAGAATCATTTTCTTAAGATTGAAAAATAGATTACCACTTCATCGTTTTACAAAAAGAACAGAAAAAAAAGCATGTCCAAGAAAATGTTGGAAAATGTCACTTCTTCCTGAAAAGAAAAGTAACAAAAAGTTTGAAATTCCGTCGAAGTTTGAAATAAGGAGCCATAATGACCACTCAAGAGTTACAAGCAGTGATTGGACGTACTGTAGAGAATAATGTGATAGATAAATAAAAGATTTTCTCAACTCTGAAAGAAAAACTTTCCTTTGTAAAAGGAAGAGAAGAAAAAATAGCAAAAAAGATGTTGCTGAATGGCGAAATTTGCAAATGCAAACAAGCGGCGTTTTTTCAGTGAGCCACGGTATGTAGCCAAGCTCAGGCTAGTGATCTTCGATTTTTGTGGATAGAGCTCAGCCTAGCATTGGGAAATCCCAAAAACAAGAAAAATTCGAGCAGAAATTTTTTTTGGAAAAGCAGGATATGGAGAGAAGACAAAGATAGTAACCCGAAAACTGCAAGATGCAAAAGCGAGAAAATGTTGTGAAACAAGTTCTCTGAGTCCTAAAGTACTAATCAATAATTTCGCAATTATTCTTTGCAGAGACACGCTGCCAATAAGGTAATAGTGCAAATTATTAAGGGAGGAGATGAACTTTTGCTCCTGAAGCAGTGGGAACTCAAAACAAAGCAAAATTCTATCATTCTGAGAATTTGCAAGGATCAAAGAACACAAGAAAACACCTGCATGAATACGAAGCCGTAAAAGGAAATGAAAAAAATGAAAAAAAAATGAAGAAAAACTGCTGGCAGCAATCCAAGAGCTAATTGCTCGTAAGGACTATTTATGTAGGTCAGAAGAGATAAAAAAATGGTACGAGACGATGAAAAAGTAACAAGGAAAATCTGGAGAACTTGGAGTACTCAGTAGATGGTATAGAAATGGAATTCGTTTCAAAAGCGACCTTAGGGAACGAGTGCAAGGGCTCGAAGTAGTGCAAGTGCGAGACAAAGCGATGTTTTGCAGAGCCTGCTGGGTGCAGGATTGATCTGCCAGTGATGAACTTAAGGTACAAGAACTTTCCCTGATGAGATCAGGGATCAAATACGAGGTAGCAGTTTGGGACTCAGCGACGCTGTACGTCCAGAAGGGAGCGAAAGTGATCGGAGGTGATTAGGTGGCCATAAAGTGACCTATGGGCAGCGCGGATCGGTGCAGACGAGTGACGGCGGGTCAGGGCAGTGCGTAACCGCTGGAAATAAACAAAGCAAACAAACAATAAACAAGTAGAGTAGAGCTAGGAGCCGGTGCAATAGATCGATGAATCTAGTGTGTTTTGCCCCGGTTGTGCCGAGAGTCTCTCTCGCGTTTCTCTCTGTGCCGGCGAATGCGCTGCTCTGGTCTCTGTGTCTCCACACTGCGCTCTCCACCACCACACTCGCAGAACAGCACCCTAGTCGTTCGTTCGGCCAGGCCGTAATGTAAACCCCCTAACTGCGCCTTAGCAAGACTAGGCCCAATCGATCGGCTGGGGGCCTTCGGTTGGTGATTCTTCGGGCCTGGCACTAAGCCATCCTGGAGAGAGTAAGTACCCTCGTGGACTGCCAGTCGAGCCGCATCGACCCTCGGCGCTAAACCGTCCGGCCGCGCGTTATGCGCCTTACCCTAAGCCGCGCCCTAATCCCCTAGCGCGACCTGCATCCTCTCTAATGCCCCCAACCATTTCGACCAGACCCCCACATCGATTCCACCTTAGCCCCCACTCCGTAGGGGGATCTGGCTGCCACCGCCGACTGGTGCTATTTCTAATCCGCCGCCTAGCGCTCTGTTCTACGGGGCTGCCGCTGACAAATGCGCTTCGCTTTTAGTGGAGGCGGTAGAGTGTGTGCAGAAAGCTGCTGTTGCTACTGCTGGCTGTCTATGTGCCGCACCTGACTGAGGCTGAGGCTGATAGACAAATAGATAAACGAAGGGGTGCAGTCGGGTGAATAAACGCTAGCGTTAGCCCCTTATTATTAACACTAATCAGGGAGCCGCATCGGTCCATCTGAATAATTTTCGCTTTTCAGCAGTTTGCTTCCTTCTTCTATGGTAGCTAAAGCTTTTGATGGATGATGTTCTCAGTGTAAGGCAAACTGATTAGGCCCCGCAAAGGGAAAGTATCTTAAAAGGGTTTCAAAGTAATGACACAGTTGTGGTTTCAAAATCTAACCTAAAGCATTTATCTTAGAGACGTTAAATTCTTGAAACTTTTTTTGGAGGAGAAGAAACTGGAAGCGTGAGAGAGGTAAATTCTTTTGATGAAAGAGTTCGGTCATCAAAGTTCGCAATATGAATAAATTGCAGACTTTGCCATTTTGCCAAAAGTGCGTTTCAAAAAATTTATTCAAAGTTCCCTATGTTGAAAGCAGTTGCTACATATTTTCTACGGAATGTTACGGAATGAAGTCTCGGAATTTTAGGTAGCTATTACTGACACTCCCGAGTGCAAGGGATGTAAAAGATATCATAGGTTAGCAAGGTCATTGTAGTGGTTTACAAGTGTCAAATAATTATGAAGTCTTTCAAACACGCTTATAAACTAATTGTGGTAAAACGCAAATGGTCTACACTATTTTCACTTATGTTGCACACTTCTTAAACAAGATCTTCATGCTCGTCAATCAAATCCCACGCTTCCTTCTCAGCATCTATGTGTCCTCAAAAATATTTTACATTACGGAATTAAAAGGCCATCAGAAACCATTTTGACAATAACAGCAGTTCAAGAAATTTAGAGGAGCAGAAAAAACCAGAAATTTCATGAAATGAAAGAGCGCCGCGGAGTCAAGCAGGGCTCGGCACAGGTGGCTTATAAGCAAGCTGGATATCGTTTTTGGGATAAAAGGCAAAGGGGATATCGTTTTTGTGGGTGAAAAACAAAACTCAGGTTGCGTTATTTAGTCGACTTTTCTTTTTTTGAGAGGTTTTTTACGTTTATGGTTTAGTGTCAAAAGGGACTCCGTAATATTTTGAAGAAGTCAAGGGAGGCTCCGCTTTTGCATTTTCGTATAGCCACCTCGTATCAAGCCCCGGTCAACCCTCGAATTATGTTATATGGAATGAGGAAAGTATCTCCATTTGCACATTTTATTCTTTCTTGGTTTCTTATCTGGTTACCCCTTCCATCTTCAAAGCTATGGGACTTGCTACACCTTCTTTAGTAATTGCTTATGTAACCATATGAACATGACTACTTCCAATTTTCAAATTTCACCAACTATTTAAAAGGATTTGTTTTTCAAGCACAGAAGTACCCCACATGTACGATAGTCTTGTCAACGAAAATCTTTGGCACTAAGCCGAATTCTACTAGAGCCAAACGTTCCTTCAAATGAAAACCACATCATAGAAGCTTAAAGGATAATTTCAAGATCTAGCCTGAGCTACGAAAATAAAGCTGCCAAGAATGACGGTAGAGATAAGACGGTAGAGAGTAAGTTAAATTATGCTAACTCCTTCTTCAATTACTCTAACAA